GAAAGCTTGTTCACACGGGCTGCATTGCTGGCGATCTCTCTGTACCCGGGAGCCTTTAGGTGAGGATTTTTACATATGAGTGTTTGTCGTTCTTTTAATTAAGGCCCATGGAAATGGATTGGTTTTTGCAAACCAGGCATTTCTCATTTCTAACGCCTCTCCCTTCCCAAGCCTCTCTGTCCCCCCCCTCCCCTTCTTCTTTGCAGGCACAGCCATTCCCCAAGCCTCTCCAGGGGGGCTGCTCCTGGCCCTCAGCTCAACCCCTGCTGGCAACCTTAAATAAGCCAAATTCCTTTTCCCGTCCTTGTTCTTCCGCCCCCTCTCTCCCAAGCACCATCACATTAGGAAGTTCTTAAAAACGGTTCTGTATCCGTCATTCACGTGTTGGGGTGCATTTTCAGATCTGTTCTTCCGAATGGAGCATTGAGGATGGGCACCCTGATTCCCCATGGGACATAAAAGGTCCAGTCTCCTCTTTAAGGAGTTTCAAAGACCAGCTACTTCCCTGTCTCTTTAAAATTACAGCGTGACTTGGCTCCTCTTGGTTTTCTGTTTAAAAAAAAAAAAAAATGGCACCTCCTCCTGGCTTGACCATTTCCCTGCATCCCTGGGGCTGGCTTGGTACCCCACTTCTCTTTGAGAGAGGTCTCTCTTTGAGCATCTTCTCCTTCTGCTTTCATTCAGGAAGTCTCCTTAATCATACAGAGGGTACCTTAGGATGTCAAAAAGGCAGAGGAGTCCCCTTAACTCACTAGGTTAATATATTCCCCTTTTTTCCAGATGTCTTTCTGAACAAAGAAAAATGCGAAGATCAGAGAGATGCAATAGAGAGCTCAGTAGTGAAGCTAAGTAGAAACGAGAGGCAGAAAGAATAAGAAGGGCCCGTCTCTCCATATGATTGCTCACCAAAACAAAGCAAACCACGTTGATACAGCATGAAGCAATTTAAAAGGATAGATATTTATGTGCTGCCTTACATTTTGTATCACCTCTTTGCTAAATGAGAATGCTTTGGAATGCACAGTGAGTGTTTGTATACCACTGACAAGTCTGACTTTCTGGAACCTACCTGAGCCCGGGAATATACATTTTTGGGAATCTCAGCCAAGGCCAGTGGTAACCTATTAAATTTAAAACAATTGGCTTAAAAAAAAAAGGGAGGAGGGGACAAAACAGCTGCTACTTTGTAGTTTAATTTTTTAAAAAAGAAGTAACTTCTATTCATTTACAGGCTTTGCTTTATTAGATTATATGATCATCATGTATCATGACTATATTGTTTTTGTTACCTGAAATAAATATGTGGTAATTTTATTTATACAGATGATTAATTATCTTTATTATTTGGGTCATTTTTCTCTCTCCACCTCTGCTGCAGGCCAAACATTGGCTGAGCGTTTCTTCATATTGTAGCAACTTATCAGTTACAAATCTATCCCCTAAAATTATTAGCTCATGTGCTCATCATGAAAATTAAGGAGAATGTAAAGATTTTATGCATTTAGTCCAAAATGCCAGATCTAAAATCAGTTCATTTATTTCCTGCAATCTTTCAAGTTGATCCAAGTACTCACTGATTTGCTCTATTTTCTCACATTTTTAGTATTTCTGTATATATATATATATATATATATATATATATATATATGCACTGAGAGGCCCAGCTCAGAAAAATTCACTGCAATTCTGAGAAAAAGCTTATCCTAAACATCTAAAGATAGCATTTCTAATTATTGTCTACATTGTGTTTAAACTGTGCAAACTTGAGCATTCTTCTCACTTTACCAGCTGTGACTAGGTAAAGTCATTACATCAAATGCTTCTAATTTTACAAAAAGAAATCAAAACAAGTGTATGTTGAAGTCTCAGTGACAAATGCAAACCCTGTGAGTCAAATAGGCAAGCTGATTAGCAAGCTGGCTGGGAAGTCAAAACAGCAAATGTAAAGAGATTAACAAAATAGAACAGTAAGGGGAGAGGCTAAAAATAGCCTCCAGAGGCCAAGTCGGGGCCAAAGGACAGGTTTGGTGACAGGTTCTGGGCCAAAAAGCAAAGGCCTGCCTTTCTGGCCCACAATCTGTCCCTCATCTCCAATCCCCTCCCTGCAAGAGCTGGGATTGCAGAGTTTCTCTTCTAACAAACCTCAGAGGTGTCACCCTTCCCTTTACTTGAATCTTCCCAGTAGTACAGCACTCAGTACCTAACAAGGGAGTAGCTATATTTCTGACCATGGCCAGGGTTACTAATTAGATACGTAGTCGATCCTGAGGTCTTCATGTGATGCTCTACAGCTTTCCTGAGTAATACTTGATTTAACCCTCACAACAATCCAACAGGATAGTCTTATTTTACACATGAGAAAAGCCAGGCCCAGAGAGGTGCGGTGACTTGCTCAGGTCACACAGCGGGTGAGTATGGCAGAGCCCGGGTCCCAAACAGGCTTTTCCAGCTGAGCCCGAGCCATCAGCCATCACGCTCCATGCGTTCCTTTGCCCTGGCAGGGAACTGGAATTGGCCCTTGTATTAGTCCCTCTCTGCTTCTTGGCTCTGGAGCCCCTTGGAATAGTGCCGTGGTGTGCAAACTGCGGCTCGCGAGCCACATGTGGCTCTTTGGCCTCTTGAGTGTGGCTCTTCCACAAAATACCACAGCCTGGGCGAGTCTATTTTGAAGAAGTGGTGTTAGAAGAAGTTTAAATTTAAAAAGTTTGGCTCTCAAAAGAAGTTTCAATCATGGTACTGTTGATATTTGGCTCTGTTGACTAATGAGTTTGCCAACCACTGGAATCCATTCCACTCCTGTTGATGGACAGAACAGAAAGGAGTAGGTCTGCTGGGATCTCTCCTCAGTCTGAGGGGCTGAGGGTAGTGAAGAGAGAAACTAAGAACAGAAGGTGCTATGGTCTGAATGTGTCCCCCCAAAATAGACATGTAGAAATGCTATCCCTCAGAGATGATAGTTGTAGGAGGTGGAGCCTTTGGGAGATCCCAAAATCAAGAGAGAGAGAAAGACAGAGAGAGAGAGAGAGAGAGAGAGAGAGAGCGAGAGAGGCATGAATGAGATTAGTGCCTAAAGGGATTCAGAGAGATGCCTTGCACCTTCCACCATATGAGGATGCGACAAAAAAGCCCTGCTGTGAACCCCAAAAAAGGTCTCTGAGCTGGCCATGCTCGTGCCATGATCTCGGACCTCCAGCCTCCAGGAATGAGAAAAATCAATTCCTGTTGTTTCTAAGTTACACAGTCGTGTGTGTGTGTGTGTGTGTGTGTGTGTGTGTGTGTGTGTGTGTGATAGCAGCCCCAACAGAGGAAGACAGAAGGTAAGTGGTGCAAATCACCAGTCTCCTTCTGAAAAATAAACCCAAACCTCCTTGGGTGATCCCGAATTAACCTACAATCTGGCAGCGGAGTCAAAGATGACGTGGCTGGCATTTTAGTCCCCTGTAATTGCTGCCTGGCCATGCTTGGAACTCTTAATTGTGGGGCTAGGTGAGCCCATCTCTTTGAGATCAGGATATTTAAAGACTCGGTTTGCTCATCCCCTTTCAGTGCTGACCTGTAGAGTTCATGGTAAGGTTTCAAACCAGTGAGAACCAGTTGGTGGAGCAGAGTCACCAGACAAGAATAGCCTTTCTCCCCAATTGTCACTTGGGTTCAAAGCAAGAACTTTCAATGACAAGTTAGTCCTAATAAGTGGTAAAAATAACCGCTGGGGATGGGTTTCTGGCTAAGGGTCGGGGTGACTCACTGTTGTAAGAATTGGGGGAGACACAGAAGCTGCCAGCTAACCAGGGTGCAAACGCCTGGGCTTGGGTCTACTACACCAGGAGGTTGAAAAGTTATTATGAGAACTTTTGTTCAGTAAATGAAGGTGGATACACAAGACTGAGCTAATCTGTGTGCAGATTGTGATCTTCCAAAAGAGGCTAAAACTCCAAGCTTTGAATTAAAACCAGCCTGTCTCCAGGCCCCCCTGCCTCCACGTGCCTTTGTGTGGAGAAGAGCATCGTCCAGGTTGTGCAAAGGCCAGACAATGCTGTGTGCCAGCAAAACCCCCTGGAACTTGCCCAGTGACCCTGCTTCACCAGCCGGACCTCAGCCACCGAGGAAATGGACCTCAGGCAGCCGTGAGGAGCCCCAGGGCCCAGACCCGTGGCCCCAGGGTCGGAATCACCCGCAGCCTATTGCAAACAGATTTCCTTCTCTCTGGCTGGGTTCCACAGCTCCTGGATGAAGCCCAGGAAACGGAATTTCCCTCTCCCCCTTCCCACAACAATCCTGGCCGGCAGAACTGGGACGAGGGGGATAAGGAGAAGTCCAGCAGGGGGTTTGGGAAATAGCTTCGCTATTTTCAAACAGTAACTGAGCCCGGGAGAGAAGCCTCAGACAAACAAAGGAACCGAGGTCCTGATGCAGTGCTGAGAGGCTGTGTTTTTAATGTGAAGATGGCCAGGCCGCCCCAAAGGGTATCTCTCTGCAGGGTGGCGAGGTGCTGAAACTAGCCAAAGGCTCCTTACTGCAGGTGGCGGGCTGGCAGGTCACGCATGGGTATGGGTGGGGAGGTGGGGACTCTAGGCAACCCCAGGACGGGCCTTCGAGAGCCTGTCTAGGGGGCGGGGGAATTAGGTGGGTGTCCTGAGGGCATAGAGGTATCTCGGGGCGCATGGGGTGAGGGCAGGGGTGACAGGGTAGAAAAGGACCTCAGGAGTCTAGGAGGCCCTAAGGGTAGATGGGGTAGATGGTAGGTGGAGGGCCGTACTTCTGGGGGTTCTTAGAGCTCAGGGTGGGGGTGTTCCGAAGGGGGGCTACCCTCTGGATGGAGGGAGACTACCCTCTAGATGGAGGGGGGTGTGCCCTCTGGATGGAGGGGGGTCTCAGCAGGCCTGGCTGGAGATCTCAGGGCAGAGAATGTCTCTGGAAGAAGAAGGAGACCATCAAGGCGGGGCAGGGTCTTTGGGGAGACAGAGGGGATCTCGGGGAGCTTGGAGGGGTGCACGGAGAGCTCAGGCCGCCTTGCTCTCCCGCCGCCGCTTCTTGCGCTCCTTGCGCTGCTGGTGCTCCTGCTCCAGGCGCGCCCAGTGCTCAGGCCCACATAGGCCCACCACGCAGCAGGCCAGTCGGCGTCCCGCGTTGCCGTTCTGCAGGCTGGCCGCGTCGCCGCCCAGCCCCAGGTCGTCCTCGCCCGCGTGCACCACCACGGAGCGGCCCACGATGGAGTGCGGGCCGCTGAGCGAGGCGGCCAGGCCGGCCCGGTACCTCCAGAGGCCGCCGCCGCGCACCGCGAAGTTGCCGAAGTCGCCCGGGTGCTGCGGGTGCGGCACGCCCAGCGGGTTGTAGTGCGGCCCGGTGGCCTCGCAGCCCCGCATCGTGTCCCCGAACTGGTGCACGTGGATGGCGCGGCTGGAGCTGTTGGGCTCCGTGGGGAAGCCCTTCAGATCGAAGTAGGCATCGAGCCGGCCACCGGGCGCCAGCTGCCGGAACAGCACGAGGCCGGTCACCCGGGGCTCCGCGGCGTCCAGGCTGGCCGACGGCCGCACCTCGCAGGCCGCGTACAGCGTGCTGGCCGCCCGCCGCCGGGCCAGCTCCTCCCGGCTCTCCGGGTCTCCGTTCGGCTGCTCGGGGCCCCCGAAGCCCGAGGCGCAGGCCACCAGGAAGCAGCAGGCACACAGCAGCGCCAGCATGGCTGGACTCCTCTGGCACCTGCGGGCACCCCTAGGGTCGGGGGGTGGGGGGGTGGGGTGAAGTGAGGCTTAGTAATAGAGACAGGGAATCCCAGGGACCAAAGTCTTTAGATCCAACCCATCCCCACCAAGAGACGTCCTTATCCGTTCCGACCCACAGCCCTTATTTTGCCAGATCCAGAAACTGTGCTTATGAATGACATGAAATTATCAATAAACTGACTGGTAGCGATCTTTCTGAGCCACGAATCTGATCATGGTTATCCCAAGTCCTAGCTTCCTGGGTGGGGAGGACCTCAGGGCGCCTGAGAGGAAGCTCGTGGCCTTTCCAAACGCCTCCCTGTCTGCATCTCCCACCCTGCCATCCTAAGCACCCGCCTTGCAGGCACTCTTAAGACTCACTGCCCCTGCCTTCTGGGTCTCTGCCTTGTGGTGCCCTCTCTTTGAAGTGCCCTGTCCCCCTTCTCAACCAGGTTCAGTGGATGTGAAGACAGAAACTCTCTTTTGCTCATCAGTACCCCGGCGCCTGGGCCTGCACCTTTAATAGGTGATTGTTGAATGAGGAGTTCACTGAGGGACAGACATGCCATCACATCATTCCAGCTTCGTCCTGTGGTTAAAGATGGAGCCGGGTGCTAGGGATGGATGGAGGAAGCAGTGTCCATGTTTCTGAGGAACTCTGGGAAGGCTTCCCAGAGGAGGTGGTTTTTGAGCTGGGTTCTACAAGGAGTTTTTCAGCCAAGCCGGTTTGAAAGCTCATTTCAGGCAGAAAGCACAGCAAGGCATGTGCACACGTTGTGAAAGGACACTGTTAGGGGAGGGGGGATTCAGTGTGGCTGGAACATGGCCTGGGCCACGGGGAGAAGTCGAAGCTCAAGAGTAAACTTTGAGCCAGGGATTGAGGGGATGGGTTTGTTGTGCTGATCGTGGATATTAGCTGGGAGGCTTGTGTGGATGGACGGTTTTAAGCAGAAAAGTGGGTGATGTGATAGCTTTTAGCTCATTATGTCTGGCAGGAGGAAGGATGTGGGCTGGCCTTCGGGGGAGAAGAAATGGGAATGGCGTAGGGAGAGATGGAGACACGGAGAAGGAGAAACAGATAGTCAGAGGGCGATGAATCAGGAAGCTGTTGCAGCAACAATGAAGGCTTTTTCCAAGATGGAGGCAGCAGAGGTAGAGGAGGCATGGATTGGGGAGACACGTGGGGAATTCGGAGGGGAAGAAGGGGAGAAGTTGAGGATGCCTAGGTTCCCAGGGGAGACTGGGTGCCTGGATGGTGGTCAAAGGCAGGAGGAGAGAGGGGAAGATGCTGGAGAGTGCCCATGTGGGATATTCAACAGAGGCCTGGAAATGCAACTGGGACGTGGAGGCTCTAGCCAGGCTCCACCTCCTCTCTGAGCCTGTTTTCTTAATTCGCAATTAGGGATAATTACACTTTCCTTCCAGCTTAACTGTGACGCTCAGAAGAGACCATTAGAATTGCTAACATATATTGAACACACGTGCCAGGCACTGTTGAAAGCAGTTGGCATGTGTCGATTCATGCGAGCCTCACAAGAACTCTGTGGGGTAGGTGGTACTGTGATCTCCATCTTGAAGCATGGGGAAACTGAGGCACAGAGAGGCGAGTGTGTTGTCTACGGTTACACGTTCTGTAACAGTGGAGGACAAGACTGGAAAGCGTGTGGTCTGCTCTGAGCCCCTGGCCTAGACCCCACCCTAAACAGCTCTCATCGAGGGCACAGAGCTCAGCGCTGATGCCCAGAAAGTTCTCAGTGAATGGCAGCTCTTTGCTCGGGGATCAGAGACAAACCATGAATAGAGATTTCAGGCCCATCAGATAAGAGCTGATACCGAAGCCATGGGCAGAGGCTCCAAGGAGTGGCAGCTGAGGGGGAAAGCCCAGAGAGCGACATCCAGAGAACCACCTCTGACATGGCCTGGCGTGACATAGCCCGGGAAGTGCCTGCAGCCATGGGACCATCCCTGCCAGGCCTCAGCCTAACTCTCCATCATCTGGGGCAGACCCCTCCCTCTGAGGCAGTCCTACCTCAGAGGTCTCTGCCAACCAGAAAGTTCTTTCTTAAAAGCATAGAGCAAAAACAGACTGTTCTCTCCAGCACACTTGGCTAATAATTAACATGCTATGGAGATGTTTTTCTCTTCAAAAGAAAACACATCCTGAATGCCAGACAAGCCCTGACTCCCGGGTTCTTAGGCCTTCCACTTCTGTCCCTGGAGGCCAGCTCCCACAAGGCTCAGCCTTCCCACACAGTCTCCCCCTTCGTTTGAACTGTGAGTGGCCAAGTGGTTTTTCAGGATCCGGTCTGGGGGGACAAGATAATGCCTCACCATTCTCCTCGGAGGAGTCTGGCTGGGAGCCTGAGCCACCTCCCCCAAGCAGGTGGCTCTTTCTCATTGTAGCTCCCACCACCAGAGCCATGCAGCGCCCAGAGAGGACAGCCTAGCGCCCTCTGGACTGATCTCTTCTAGCACTGAGGTCCCCTCGGTCGATCTGGCCCTGGCAGGTCCACAGGAGAACTGCTCTGTCTCCCGCCTGCCTTCCTCACTCCTCTCCCCAGCTCCCTGCTCATCCCCTCCAAGCAGCCAGCCTGTCCCTCTTTCTGTCTCAAAAAGATGATCAAAGACTTTCCCAAGAGGAGGCCTCAGGCCCCACCCTGGTTTAAACTCTCCCTAGGCGCTCTCCGAGAAAGGAAACAAACCTCCACTTGGCACCTACCTTGCCAGCCCTTCCAAGAGCGTTTCCCCAGCTGAGGAGTGGAGAGCAGCTCCCTGCACACGCAGATGCAGACCGTCTGGTCCCTGGAATGCCGACTGACTCCCGGCCCCGGGGCCGGGCTGCCTGTGGGTGTGCCGGAAGGCCAGCCCAGGGGAGTGGTCACCCTGAGGAAAGAAGGTCATTGGGTGGTTGGGGAGGGAAAGCAGGCCAAGCTGGCTGGCCCTTGTGGGTTTGCCTCACCTCCTTCTCCTCTGTTCCTTCCTCCCCCAGCTCCTCCCCAGCTGCGGGGTTCCCGGCCAAGTATTCCTTGTCAGTGACCTCTTTGGTGTGCACAGACATAGCCAGTGCCCTTCAGCACGTGGCAGCAGGGGAATAAAAATGAGACCAAAAATAGCCTGTGTGGAAAGGTGGACAATGGTTTCTTTAATGAGATGCCCTTTGCTCTCTCTCTCTTGATTTCCTTAGCTACTGACTCATTCTGGCTGGACGTTTTCATGGTGGAGATGGGCACCTGACAGGTATGCATGGTGTTTGTCAGAGCTGGGAGGCAGGTGTGGTGGCACGGATGGCAGAAGCCCAGCTGTGTCCTGTCCTAGCGCTGGGCTCCTGGCCCAGTGGGCTCCCTGTGCCTCTGTTTCTTAATCTGTATCTGTGAAATGGGGATGGCATGCTAACCGGTACCATCGTCACCAGCGTTGCTGTCGCTTTATTAGAGACATTACTGCGTACGGAGTCTGCTTGAACCTTGAGCACATCTCCTCCCCAGCAGCCTTTCTTCCGTTGCTGCTGTGATCTTGCCTCAATCACAGACTCTTCCAGAAATAGCAGCTTTTCTGCCCCAGAAAAACTCACGTGGGAAAAGGCAGCTGGCCTGACAGACTATTGTCCTCCAGCCTTCTTCCCACAAGCACTTAGTGGGTGCTCACAGCGCCCCGGGTCCTGCACGGTGTGCAGGTGTCCAAAGCAGCAGGGGTTTCTGCCCTCAGGGGACGCATACTCTAAGGGTAGGGGGCTTGCGGGGGGGTGAGAGACAGCAGTGTCAACAGGTTCTTCCATTACGGAGTGGGAAGTGCAGCTGGGGAGGGATGGACAGGGCCCCTAGAGGCCCAAACACTAGTCCTGGCCCCAGGAAAGCTGGTTCCACATCCAGACTCTGGCCCCACCCAGGCTGAGTGAATCTCACACCAGCGGGTGCTTCCTGGAATCATCTTTTAAAAAGCTGGTCATTCTAGTGAGCGGCCAAGTCTGAGAACCACTACTTGGCAGGAAGAACTTGAACTGAAGATCTTTGGCCGGGACAGCCAGTCCAGATGATAATGTGGAAACTTCTGGGAAGTCAGGGCTCCAGCCCTCTGCCCAGCCATCCATCCTCCAGCTCCGGCTCTGGGGAACTCCTCGGCTCCGCCCTGCCACTCTGCATTCTGCAGCTGGGCGTAGTGTCTGTCCTTGGCTATGGACTTTCCAGAGTCCCGGCCACCATTCCCACCCAGCCCCACTCCAGAATGTTCTGGTGTCTCATGATGAACATTTCATTTTTTTTAACTCTGTATTTTCATTCCATTCTTGAAATAATAACAATTATGTAAATTCACGATTGCTGCAGCCAGTAGTGCTTTCTTCATTTAATCTGATTTTCTTTCTTTTAAGGTCCAAGAAAGATCTCCCTATGGACTTCTAGAACTGGTGTTAAAGTTCATACTCTTTCATCTTTAGGGCCTTCTAGGGGAAATTCACCCTGACCCTGGCAATATCTAATTCCCCTTCCGTTGGCAATAGCACCCTGATTTCCTTCTTGGAAACCATTGCACTTTCAGAGGGTACTGACTCCACCCTTTGTTCCTACCTTCCCCTCCTCTGCTAATGTTAAGGTTGCATTGGTTCCTAGATATTCCATTCAGAGCTAATGAATGCACTGACACTTTTGCTGGGACTGTTGGAAGAGAGGAATCTTCTCTTATCCCCTGGACTTGAACTGGAGGAGAAAGAAGGATGGTATTGCAGCCACCTTGCCCCGATAAGGGAGAACCTATCTGAAGAGAGGGCCAATGTGGAGGGGAGCAGAATAAAAGTAAGGTGAAGTCTGAACCCAACAGCAGTGTTTGAGCCCCTGGATCTCGCCATGCCTACAGCTCTAATTCTTATTGAGGAGGTCAATACATTTTTATTTTTGTTTAAGTTGTTTGGATTGGACTTAACTGAACACTTTATAAAACACGTCCTCATATGATATGCTATTCGATGCTTTCAATGATTGTGTAAACTGGCTATTCATTTGCTCACTATGCAGACAAGGAAATCAAGTTCACAGAGAATAAGGAATGGCCCCAAAGTGCAGAACTAGAAAAAAGCAAAGTCAAGATTTCAACTCAAGACTCTCTGATTCCTAATCATTACACTTTACTACCTCCCAGGCTACAAAGGAAAGGTAAATTAGAAACAACATGTGAGTCTACCAAGGCGTAGTTATCTCTGTAACATCAGTGCCTGCCCTGCACTCGAGACATAGAAATGTTGGCATCTAAACCAACCCTTGCCCCGCCTGTGCAACAGGAAACTAAGAGACCCTTGGCAAGCAGCCGTATTAGGAGATGCAGATGTACTCATATCTGCAGGTTTACAACTGTGAGACTGCAAAAGAGAGTTTGTTCTTGTATTATTTACTTATTCGTTAGTGTATTATTTTCTATATGAACCTCTGGTAAACCCACTTTTGCCCCACCCTGTTCATAGAAGAAATCTCTGCTAGAGGACTTCGTTCTTCTTTTATACAGAAACTAGAGGCCCGGTGCACGAAATTTGTGCACTCTGGGATTTTTTTTGGGGGGTGGGGGTTCCACTCAGCCCGGCCTGTGCCCTCTCGCAGTCCGGGAGCCCTTAGAGGATGTCCAACTGATGGCTTAGGCAGGGAGCGGGCCTAAACAGTCAGTCGGATATCCTCAGTGCTACCGAAGAGGTAGGAGAGGCTTCCACCACTGCTGCTGGGCTCGCCAGCTGTCAGTCCAGCTTGTGGCTGAGCAACACTTCCCCTGTGGGAGTGCACTGACCACCTGGGAGGCAGCTCCTGCATTGAGCATCTGCACCTTGGTGTTCAGTGCACATCATAATGACTGTTCATTCCACCATTCGGTCGATTTGCATCTAAGCCTTTTATTATGTAGGATACCAGTTGTAAATAGCTTCCCTCTCACTGTGTTCAGAAAGCCAGTAGAGTGAAAGTATACCAGGAAATAAGTGGTTACCATGAAGAGAAAACATTTACAAGCAACTATTAGGGTTCCAGGCTGCCTCCCTAAAAGGCTAAGTTCTGGGTCATAACAGGCTACCCATCCAGAGCCCTTCAGACATGCCCCAGGAGACTTCAAGGGTCTTACCTGCCTATGGTTCTTCCAGAAATCCCTGGGGGAGGGAGTGGGACCAGGTAACTGCATAATTCAATCTTGGATTCTCTCATTTTGTCCAAAACACATTTGGATAATCTGGAGGAGGGTGTGAGCGGTGGGGGAAGCGTTGGGGAGAGCCTTGTTGGCAAGGTGGGCAGGAAGGAAAAAGGCTTATTATTAATATAGTAATAACATCGAACATTTATTAAGTGCTGCTTGTGTGCCAGGCACTTATTAAGCAATTTACAGGCACCTTTTCATCCGAGTTAATGGCACTGCTCCTCAATGAAAAAGACAGATTGCATTCTGTGTCCACGTCACATTCTGGCAAGTGTCCCTTTCACATCACCCTCCCATTCAAGTGTCTGGACAATGTGTTTGAATTAAAAAATAATGAACACCAGTCAGAACCAGGAGTTTCTCAACTAGGTCCACTTGGCGGGCCACGTGAAACCAGTGACCAAAGGTTGGACACAAAAGCAATGCCTTTTCTGACCAGAAGGTGAGTGTGTGCAAAGCATTCTCAGGAAAACACAGAGTGAAATACCTCTGGGCTACATTTTCATGGACCCTGACCCTGTCTCCAGATCTGATTTCTGGCTGGACCTGCAAGAAGAAGCTCAAGTCATTCAAAAGCGAGATGCAGTATGAGTAACTCCAAAGCATATCCCAGGTGGTACTGATTTCCTCAAAATAACTGCACAGTACATTCTGCTTGAAAGAAGAGAAGCCTTTTCCAGCCTACTTTCTAGTCATGTTTATTTAAAAATATCTGGTGAGCATGGCCAGTGTGGCTCAGTGGTTGAGCATCAACCTATGAACCAGGAGGTCATTTTGACTCACCATCAGGGCACATACCCGGGTTGTGGGCTCAATTCCCAATGTGGGGCATGCAGGAGGCAGCTGATCAATAATTCTCTTTCATCATTGATGTTTCTATCTCCCTCTCCCTTTCTGAAATCAATAAAAAAATATATTTTAAAATTTATAAATCTGTTAAGCCCACAGCCTACATCTACCCATCTTCTTGCTGTCTCCCACTGCACAAGTTGAAAAGCCATTGGCCACCTCTTCACCTTCCCCCTGCTGACCACACACACACACACACACACACACACACACACACACACCCTGCAACCTCATCATAATGAAGAAATATTCTCCCTACTAAGCCAGCTTGGCCCAGTCCCTTGCCTGCAGTACACCATCATGGCCAAATAAACAGAAAACATGGGCAGAAAAGCCTCAGGGAATGTGTGAAAAATGCACAAACCTCACAACATGTGGAGAACAGAATGTAGGGAAAGGTGCTAGACCTTCTCTTCTTTTAGGTTTATAGAAAATCATTGCTGAAAGAAACTACAGAGGAAGGAGAGGTCTTATGATTCAGCCTCCATTATAGAAAATGAATTAGGATGTGTAAGTGCTAACAGGATTCCAAAGCTTCAGAGTCTAGGCCCAGGGAAGGAAATTGTCAGGAAAGCAGCCGTGGGTCTCAGAAAATGAGTGCAGTATGGCTCTGGCCACTGTTAAATGATGGCTAAATGGAATGGGTGACCACCTTCACCACATCCTCCAAACCACCATCACCCACTATGTCCTCCCAGATGGTAAAGCCACAAGCCAGCAGCATCTGGAAGACTGGAAGGTTCTGTGATATGGTCCTAGTAGCATATTCTGCCTTTCATTTCACAGCAGATTGGAGCATTCTTACAAAGCAATCAAGCTCCTCCCAGTGCTCTGGGCCCTGGCCCAGCTATGGAGGGCAACATCTTGCCCTACCTGGACAGAGTATAGGAGTA